TTACTATATAGTAAGTACATTACACATTTATTCATGTATAACTAGTAGAATTTGTGACACTTCACCCAACTTGGAATCTTATCTTACCACACAATATTGAATATTTTGCCACTATGGTATGCTCTTTTTAACGTTTCTTTAAAAACAGTCTCTGGCAATGCTGATACCGTGAGCACTCACCCTACCTTCAAAAGTTTGAATTATTCATCCATGTTTTCGCACTTGTTAACGTAATTCTCACATTCAACAAAATATTGAACTTTGTAAACAAAATTTTGGAAAGTTACACAACAAATATATCTGAATTTCAAATAAAAACAAAACATATCCAAACACGGTTAATATACACACATTGTTTTAAAGTATAATGTTTTTTATTAGCACAAAACAACAAACAATATTATAAAAATTTGCTTTTAAAAAAATCATTTTGATGTTACTGCATTACATGAAAAATTTTGCAGTAGAAAAATAGTTAAATTTTAACAACACGTAAATGATCATGCATCCATAAGAATCAATCTTAGTTGGCCTTACATATACTTTTTTTTTCTTCTCTCTCCTCTTCTTCATATTTATACACAATGGACACACAGACATCCATTTTGTCAAATAATATTATTCTGCTAGTAGAACATGTTGAAATTAGACATATTGGAAAAGCTCTTTAGAAAACAACTTTTTCAATATTTGCACCTTAATGGACATAAATTTTTTAACTGACCAAACTACACTCTGGATAGAACTACCCACAACTGACCATGAGAAAAAATTGATTCAGTTAAATGCAATCTCAACAGACAGACATCTGTTTTTCTCAAATTAAATTAGGGTAAGATTATTCATAAATTTATTTATTATAGTTAACTTCAAATGAAGTAAATGTATTCCACACTTAAGTAAATCTTATGGATGATAATTCTTAATGTGTATAACTCAGATTTCACAAACTCATATACTCTATTTTCTGTATTAATTACAATTCACAATGTTTCCAAATCTGTCATAGGTAACAAAATCACCAATCAAATGTGTAAGATTGGTAATACCTTATTCCATGACATAGGGAAACGATTATGTCTTTTCTTGAAGTAATGAAGGGCTTCAAACCCTATATGAAGCTGTCCTGGTCTGTCAAATTTAGCAAAGTCAGATATGAGGAATTCAGGTGATCCCATGGAGTCCCTCAGGGATTTCTGAAAGAAAAAGAAAACTATCTCATAAGTAACATGTCCCTAAGAAATAAACAATAGTACAGAAGAATACATTATCATGTTTAATAGCTGAAAAAGAGAAAATCACATATTTTGTAATAAATTATGTTACATCAAAAGACTTGAAAGAAAATTTTCTGAATTTTTCCAGAACCATAACATAAAAATGGCCAATTTTCTTCCAGGATCTCATTGAACCCTGTAAAATACACTTGGCTAAGATCTTAGAGAAAAAGAAAACCTATGTACATAATAAAATGCTGTTCTCTCAATCTCATCAAATGAGCTGCAGAGGAGATTTGAGCAAAAGATGTTAGGCCTCATGGCATGCTTTACCATTATTTTCTAAGAATTGCATTCATTGACACTTATCAGCTCAGACGGACAGTCATGTCTTCAGGAAATCTCTCTGATATTTGCAGTTACTTCCTGTACCATCACAAGCATGACAATAATCTAATACAGTTCAAATTCAAACACAACATAAAAATACTTACTTAGTGCAGCTGATAAGGACTGGAACACTGCCTACAAGTGATTCACATGATTAAATGACAATATCATAAGTTCATTACAAAACTAAGATCTCACAAAGCAAAAGCTCGTTCGAAATACAAGTAGTATATCGTGAAATTTTGTGAGCCATATCTGTCATACGTCCTCCAGTTCAAACATATTGTCGACTTTATTAAATACATGCCACAGAAATTAAACTCGGATTAACTTGTGGTTCTGCACATATCAGATGCTTACGCCATGGAAATTTTGACTTGTATGGATATACACAAGTGATGGACCATGTATATCTATCCCCATACACACATTTTCATCCATATCTTGAGCCACTTCAGGCTCTTAGTGACATCCATCCTTTAAATAGTTTGTAGCTGTGAAAATCAATATTCTAGTGAGAAATGAAAACCACAAGTCTTTACTTTTCCACATTTCAAAATCAATAATTTCCCGATTGATGGCATTAAAGTTTTTGTTAATTTTCAAACTTTGTGAAAAATCAAAATACAGATCACACAATTTACCCATTTATTTTGCAGTTTGTTTATCGAGAATGTCTTCAGATAGAATACTTGAAAAATCAAATATTAATACGTTATACAGTTGAACAAATGTATTTCCTTTATTCTGAATAAATCTAATAAGAATCTTAAAACAAAAAAAAAAAAAACATCAGTACAATTTTCTTTAAAAGAATTGTTAAAAACAACCAAAGTGAACTGTGCAAAGTACCTGGCTTTAACCTACTGGCTAGAAAAGGTTGATCTATCCTTTAAACCAACCTAGTGTGATATGAAATATCAAAAAAAGTTGTAAATTCATCTTGGTTCAAAATAAAGAATTTACTTACAAAGTTAATGGATTTGGGCATTTTGACTTGTGTTGCAACACCTCCTCGTATATAATCACTAAGATTGGATGTATCCCCTATACTAAACGTATATGGTCCTAAAAAAAAGAGAAAAGTAGTTAAACCTCAATCTCAATCCACCTCAGTTTTCATTTATTACAAAAACATCATCATACTGCAAGTTATCTGTACCATTATAAGATCACAGAAAAATTGTTTTACTTAAAACAATATATCTGTATGCACTTTTTCCCACATATAATTATAATTTAGAAAAGTTAAGCCCAAAGGAAAAGGAACTATCAAGGTTGAAGTTATACCTACAGCTGTAAACCAAAAATATATATTACAGAAGTTGTTTTTCCTGTAATGATTCTACATAGAGGTATGAAATTACCTAATGTCACGTATTGACTTTCTTTAATGTGTATGAAGTTGTTTACAGGCCAACTTGTGCAAATTTGTATGTATCAAATAGTTTGAAAACAGTGGATTTTTAAAGTTGTTATTAGTAGATTTAAAATTAAACTATACCCATTTTATTTTACAGCTTTTAAGTTTCTCAAGCTGACAAAATCATAATTATACCATCTGAAACCTGTGATTATTTTTGTTTTTTAAATCTGTTGGCTGTAGAGCTACCTTCCTTCCTTATGCAGTTACACCAGAAAGTTTCCCTCAATGCTTATTTATTTTACTGAAGTAAGTGCTTTGGCTGTTAATTTTTGGTTTACAAGAATTCATGAATTTTATAACTTGAGGCCATCATGAAAGTAAAGATAATGATGTCTCTCTTTCAAATATATGCAAGTTAGTAAAAGATGATAAATACTATACATTTATATTAGTTTTAAAGCTTTAGGCTATTTTTAATTGCACCATTTCTGTCAATGAAGTACATGACATTGTTAGAGGCCTACTACAATAAATGTATGAAAACTAGCTTTTGGGTCAATGGCTAAATGGTTCATGTGTAATAATGGTGCAGTAAATTGCTGTTATGTGGTGTTTTTATCATTATTATAAGTCATAATTGGAACAAAAAAAAAGCAAATTTACATTTTGAAAAGTTATGCTGTTATGATGTGTTTGAGCGTGTTACATATGCATGGATGCGTTTCAAATCTGGTGACTTTTACAAGTTATTAATTTTTATTAATGCAAAATCAGAGGTAGCATTATATTCGCCATATGGTTTTAAAGATGTTAATGTATATAGATCGTGAAATATAATCCTTTTATAATGGATTTCTGATCATTTCTATGGTTTTCAATATCTGTGGGATAAGGTGCACACAATATAGAAGTCAATAAATGATCTGAAATAATAGGCAAGATACCATCTTACAAGCTCTTGTCATAAAAAAAGATAGAAAATAAACTACACCAATAGATTTTAAAATATTTCCACCTCTTTCAGATACAAAGCTAATTAAAAACAAATCAATAAAAACTGGTTGGTTAATTGTACTTGACTATGTTGTCTAAACAAAATTCAAGTTGAATCTTCTTTCCTGAATTTAGTGAGATCTAACCCTTTTGTCTCATGAAATGTACAGAAATCAAGTTGCGAATTTCACTGGTACAACAATATGTGCTGTAACTCTGACATTTCTTAACATATCGTCACAAAAACTGGTAAGATTTTGTTAAAGATCACAAGCATCTCATACACAAAGAATGACATTATTATAAGTAAGTGTTTTTACTAAAAATATTTCTTCTATTGTAGTTACTTGCACTCAAACTATTATATAAAAATACTTTTCTCTGTCTTAGTTTCATATTTCATTTGCATAATCTCTAGAACCTCCTAAAAGGATATCAAATGTTTTTTAAGGTTAATTTCTAGATTTTTTTCATTTTCTCTACCATATCACTAACTAGCTATTATCATCAATGTACAATGCAATGAAATAAGTAGAATTAGAAAATAGAAAAAAATACCTTTTAATTTTTTGTAAATATCTTTAAGAGTATCCTTCTGTTAATTTCACGATTTCATCTCTTTTCCAAGTAAATTTTTAATGTTTCATATAAATATTCCTTTCTTGCCTTTTACAACTTATTATTCATCTAGACACAAGTCAACGGTGCCCTCGAGGCATATTACAGTTTCTTTGGGAGATGTATGCAACCCTTTGGCAAACTTTTTGTTCAGAGTGTAATATCATAAACCTTGAGAACGGACAAAAAGTATGACGTACATTTGAAAAACCTTTTAATTATACATTTTAAAACATAATTAATACATAATTAACTAAGATATAATAGTAAGACCTAAATACAATTTAAACTGTATCTTGAACTATAACATATTTAGGTAAGAAACAACCATAAATGCTATAGTTGATTTAGCAGCCAACAATACTATAGTAAATTTTATGTTCTCTGTGACACAGACTTAGTGCCAATTTCAAAATAACCAGTGTTAGTTTATATTTTAAAATAGGCTCATTCTAACTGTTATATACATACGTGTATGTAATGTCTACATTGAAGGGATAAAGCTCAAACAAATTTGTTGAAAGTAGGCATGGCAGCTGTCAGGGGGTTGAAAAAATAGATTACTTGTTTTATCTGTATTCATTCAGAGTACTTTGAATCACCACTGTCATGTGTATTGTTCTCGTAGTTACAGAATGGACTGTCAAATTAACTCTTAATTAATTAATATATATATATATATATATATAAAAAAAGGCTTACCCAAAACCTTGATCTTCTTGGGTTCAGAGTTGTTCAATTCCACCATTCCTTGTATTTCTGAAAACTTCACATAATCTCCATCCTCAAAACCATGCCTGGATTCTTCTAAACATGTAACCAGACCTTCTTTATCCTAGATTATTTATACAAGATCCTTTCAGCATGGAATGAAGCAAATACTTGTTTTAGAGCATTAGGTTACACCATCAAAAGCTCAAAACACAATCTTGTACCAACTAGGGATAATAAATCAAGAATACAGCTGCCACCCGATTATTTTAAACTCAAGTATAGAAGATAGAAGACACACAAAATCTGTATCAACTGAATTAATGTACAAGAAGACTTTCTGACAGTTTCATTATTACAATATTTTGAGGTATTTGTAAGGTATTACCTGTTGATGAAAACATGGGTTGGTATATTTATTAAAAAGTATATCTGTCAGGATCAATCACTTTTAGAAGTAACTGATATAGTTAACTTTAACTACCATAAAAGTGGTAACACACTGACTATTTAAAAACAGAATAAAAATTCTAACTTCCAATTTTATAGCCAATATTAAAATTATTGGTAATTTTTCAATTATTTTGAAGTCTTGATTAGGTATAAAGAAATTCAAACATTCACAAATGTGATGGCCTGGTGATCATATCAGCTGACTGAAAAAATACTCACAAAATACAGATAGGTTTGTTTTTCTTTTGAATTTAGAGCACCACTACTTGAGGGCTTTATGTGCTACCAATCTTTAATTTTGAAGTGGCAGACTGGATGGAAGGCATTTACTGTACACCAAACACCTCCATCTCTTAGACTACTCTACCAATGAATAGTGGAATTAATTCGTATCTCCATGGCTGAAAGGTTAACGTGTTCAAGGATGTGATTTGATCCCGTGACTTGCAGATTGCAAATTGATTACTCTGACCACCAGGCCATGCCGATACGAGGTGAAAATAACAAATTCTATTTCTATTTCACTAGTACACCTTTTGTTGTGATTTCTGCACAAGCTATTTTTTTTTACAGTACAAAATGAAATTCCAAATGTTAATCTTTATAATTTCTTCTACTACAAAAACTTTGTACAAAAAAAAAAAAACTTTAAAATTCTATAAAATATTCTTCCATACATACCATAAGGGACTAAGACCACAATGTTTAATTTATGTGCTGACTTGTTACGTCATACATTGCCACTTAGAACACATAGTTCATAAAAATTGTTTTAGTAATTATATTACACACTAAATCAGATTTTTTTTATATAAAAATCAGTTGTAAAAACAGCCAAATAAGACCACCCCCAGTAACAATAGTTTATAGAATACCTAAAGAAGATGCATTTCCATAACTTAATATATGTTAAGTTACATGAACCATCAATAAACAAAACCGTTTATGTCTTAGAGTCCTTACTACACATTTCCTTTTAACCATATTCAATGTTTTATTAGAGAACAGTGTACTGTCACTGATGTAACTTTTAGTGTGTAGATCCAACTGATTAAAGTTAGTCAAAATTTTCCTTTAAAATATCATACATTTCCTTCTATATGATAGATGAACACAATAAATCCACTTAAAAAAAAAACCTTACCTTACTGACGGAGGCAATCATAACAGATATAGGATTTTCTCCCGTCACATCAACAACAGAAAAATTCTCCCCAAAATCACAAAAAATCTGGCTGAAAAAAGGGCAAAAAAAGAAACATGCCATTCTTTAATTATACAGTATGCTGAAAAGTACAGTATCACTCAACTCTCTCACGTGTGTGTGTGTGTGTGTGTGTTTGTTATAGCAAAACCACAGCGGGCTATCTGCTGTGTCCTCCGAGGGGAATCAAACTCAATTTTAGAGTTGTAAATCTGAAGACTTACCACTGTCCCAATGGGGGATAACCCTCTCGACACGGGCTTGGTCGATTTGACCAACCACGTGACCACTTCATATTCCTTTAACGCTTTCACCCTGGATACCCTTTACTACGCATGACAGAAAGTTTTTGTGTATTACATTCAACATGTTATTAAACTACTTTTTGTTTATGGCATAAACACTTAGCTAATAATCTATATTTTATTAGTACACAAGTTTTAAGTTCTTAATTCTATATGGAAATATTAAAAAAAAACACAGTAACACGTTTCCTCTAGGCATCTTTTCTATCTTATCAACCACCCCTTCAATGTACAAAATTAAACTTGTATTGCTCCCTATAATATCGTCTTTGCTCAGACAAACCAGTAATTTTTATACCCTTCAATTTTGTTTGGTTACAGAGCTATAAATAGAAAATCACACCCCCTCCTGCCACACCTGCATGTCACATCGTCTTTTTCAGACTTTGTTAATAGTTCTCTTCTCCTCTTTTATGTTTAATTATATATTATTTATAACCAATAGAAAATCAAGTTTTCATCTATCAAATGACGTATTGTATAACGTTGTGTTCTGAACAGAGAAGCATCAATTTCACTCAGATGAGTTTGTAATGGCTCGTCGCATAGTTAGAAAGCCAGAAAAATTGAGATTTAGGGGAAATTGTCTACTTTTTGCCTGTTATTAGTCTGTTCTTTGGTGCATCACTACCATTAGTATAAAAAAAAATAGGGTTAAGTTTTATCAATAATCAACAGCAAGAAAAAAGAAAATTGAGTAAGTAAGATATTTCTTGTTTTTCAAGTTTATTCTTTTTTTTATTATTAAAGTAACTAAAATGTAAAAATAGGGATCTTTTTAGGTTAGTTAAGATAAGATTAGGTAAAATAAATAATAATGATAAAATAATATAATAAAAATGTTTCATGAAGCATGCATGCGAGCAGCACGTGTCCCGAGTGATTTACAATTTATTATGGCATGGATAGCAGTTAGACACTGTTCAAAGGGCAATTAAACAATATTTAATTATAAATAGATGTATATTGTTATGAGCTTAAAGCTACTTAGGATAAACTAATGAAGTTTCATGTTACAATTTGAAGTCATTCTAGAAAGAAAAAAAAGGGTTAATTTAGATTTTTTTTGGTTGTTATGAGGTCGGTCAAATTGACCGATCCCATTTTGAGTTAGGGTAGACAAAATAACAAACTATAAGAATTTAGTGAAAAAAAAAACGTTTGAAATGCATTTAGGAGGTT